GTGTGTATAGGGTGTTGCGTGGCTCCGCCGCAAAGCAAACATACCTCAGAAGTCGACATCAAGCCAGAAACGGGGACAGGCCAAGTCATAATAGTGATAAAAAAATGTCGTGTACTTTTCAAACTATAGGCTCTAAAAGAAACGACAAAATCAAAAAATCTACACCCTTTGATGATTTTCAAGTTCCCATTACTATGAATTTAATTTTTTTCTTAAACGGAGTGTCGTTCAGAGTCATTCTACGTTGTGACAGCAAGACTTATAGTGAAGCCACTATTCTTACTTCGTGAATGTTTTCATTAAGTTCACAATAAATGTTCTAACTGCCTTCCTTCAGCAATGCAAGCTTGACATATTAGAAATGATCTGGTTTTCAGTTGGGCGAATCTTCCGATATTAACAAAATCCGGCTGCTTCCGTTATTATGTCCCGTAACCCAGCTAGATTTTTGATTGGTTTTGGGTACACTTTTTCTTCCGCCGCCCCTCAGTAGAAAAATCCAGTGGAGTCAATTGAACGGGCTGGCCACGAAATTGTGCCAGACTGCCCTTCCGTCTGCTCGGGTATTCCGCATCAAGATATTCTCTAACTGAACGGGCATACTGCGCCGTCTTGCTCGTACCACATGTCTCTGTAAGTGCTTAGTCGCACGTCTTCAAATAAATTTGGTAAATGATTTTGAAAAAAGTTTAAATAAATTTCGTAATTCTGGCACGTAGAGTACAATGATTCTTCCTTTTAGAATTCCGGTCCACATGTTTTTGTTTTAAATCGGCAGCTATGACGACGGCCTATCCGTCGTTTCCGGCTTGATGTTGGCTTCTGGGACACCAGATATATTTATTTTATGAAGCAACGCCCGTATAGGTTTAAATAATTTATAAACATCGGATGGGTCTCACATATCAATAGCGCTGTAAAAATCGTTTTTGAAGATCTTTTCTAGTTTATACATTATAGTTGTAACATTTGAAACTCATCCTGTGCTTTATATGTGGATAATCCCCCGTGCTTGTCTGTCCAATAAAACCACATGCATTGACAGATCTTTTTTACTGTAAATTTTTCAATCACAAAGGTGATCTTCTTTAGTAAATTGCCAATAAATTTGGTCAAACGCTCTTCCAATGACAGTTTATTTGTTTTTTCTTTTCATTATCAGTTTCTCATACAATAGTCTAAAAGTTCCGTAACGTGCTGAGACTACGCGAAGTCATCACTCTAAATGGCACCACGCAAATCTATCGTAGCCCAGCCCCGCCTTTACTAGGCAAGCCCGTTCCAAAAGAACGTCCAAAACGACAAGCGAGTATGAGGTTATCGTTTTTTTAATGTACCAGCTACGTCACATTTCGTTTTTTTATATTGCAACTACCACGAAGGCCTAAGGCCTAAACACCCATTGCGTACCATAGAACTATAGGGGGGTACAGGGGAAAGGGGGAACGCCACACGGACTCTGGCGAGGGAACACGTGTGCATGTAACATGCACACATTCTGGCTCCGCCTACGAGATCCGCCGTGTGGTCCCTCCGCGTTCGACAGTCAGAGACCGTCTACCACCTACCGACAATCACAACATCCGTAGGCAAGAGAAAAATTTCTCCTGGTACGGGACTCGAACCCACACAGCGCACGCTGACTGATCAGGAGACCGAAGAGTCTACTACTGCGGCCACCGCTGCTGCCTACACTAAAAAAAAGCGTGCTAAAAACGACAGCCTCATACTCGCTTGTCCTTTTTTGGGAGCGGGAATGCCTACCCCAGGCGGTTCTAGGCTATGTTGGTTTTGAGTGGTGCCAACTTAAAATTCGGAATGCTGACTTCGCGCAACCTCAGCATTTTACAGGTTTTTCGAACTATTGTAGTAACAGATCACCTTCGTCATTGAAACCTTTACAATAAAGAAGATCTGCCAATGCATGTGATTATATTGGTAGCATCACAGCCGACGTCAACTACGAGCCGTGATGAAAGAAAGGCAACACCGCGCTCGGACGGCATGGTAGTGCTACCTGTGAACGTCGGCCGCCAGCGGCTGTGTGCTCCGTCTCCGTGTAACGTTCAAGAACTAAATTTAATTTTGGAAAAGAGGACAGTTCGATTCGATACATATCGTCTGAATATGAAATAGCTCTAAAAAATTTAAAAATACGAAATAATCGTGATATATATGAGTCGCTAATGCAGTTAACCTAATTAAAAGTATTTTGTTTACGTTTTTTGGTGTCAGCACACTGTGTTCCAACAGGCCCAGCTTGAAAATGTGGAGTTACCTGTTTGTTTTTAATACATTTACTTTCAGTTTTACTGTTATTTTTCAATTTTACATAATCATTCAAAATTATGTTTGAAAAAATAGACAAAAGCTTAGATAAAATATCTGCATAATTGCGGCCACAGATGCAAGTTAAAGAAAATTCACTGTATATAAAGTCAGACTGAATGCTCAGCAAGGTTAACTGACACAAAATAAATTTTTGATTATTGCTTTTCAAGAAGAAAATTTCCAATCTATCTACATTAATAATAGATTCGAAAATGGCATACATATGGTAGAATATGATTGGTACATAACTGGTTGGAATTGACAGTCCTCCTCTTTGCAAATGATCAAAATAAACATTTGTTGTTAATGAACCTTTTTCTTTAACTATTAGCGATTTGCATATCTCGCAGTTTAGGTTTTTAGACATAGCGTGTGAAACATATCCAGATATATAAGTCTTAGTACTATCCTCTATGTCACAATTGGCTAAGTAATTTGTCTTAAATACTTCATTGAATACGTATATATCCAAAACTTCAGGATTTTGTTTGGTATCCAAGAAATCAAAATTTTCTTGGGTTTCTAAGCAGTGTTGGAACCTTGTTTTAATTTCTGCTAAAGACAATGACGATTTCTTTTCATTGAAAATATGCTTCAGCCGTATTTTCCTTTCAGCATTTAAAATTTCATCATATGACACATTGTAATTGCAGCCACATAAAAGTCTATAATTGCCAAATCGTTTTTCTAAATTATCAGTGGTGAATTTTCCAGGCAATACATACTCAATAGCATGAAGGCTAAAACAGTTTTAGCCATGTCATTTTTATTTGAGGCATACCCAACAATGTTTTGTGAGCGATAGTCCAGCCTAGATGTTATATAAATTTCATCGATCATCAAAATTACAATTTTTTCTCTTGGAGCTAATTTAATTGCTATATTCGAAAGGTAGTGTTCATTATTCCTATCATTTTTTGGAGATATGTATATCCATACTTGAGGAGATATGTTGTAAGTATCGCTTACTTGGCAAAATAAAAAATCTTTTAATTAAATTATGTTGATGATGAGTGGTTATAAAACGTAAAAGCCATTGTTATTGAAAGTGATGCATATCTGTTTTTCCTGTTTTGAATTTGTCTCAGCTGATCAGCAATAATCTCTAGATTTTTTGTATATGGAAACATAACTGAGTCATTATTAATTATGGAAATCGCTGTGTCAAGTTGTTCCAATGCATTCATGATGCAAACTTCAACAGAGTTTTTGTGTTGGTTCTCAGAAAAATAGAAAAAATACCTATTTAGCAGGTTTTCTAATTGGGACCATCTGATAATTTTGAGATCATGTGGCAAAACCCACTTCAAGTCACTAAAAGAAAGCTTACATCCTTTAAGAACAACCTGAACTTCCATCTGACCATCAACTATAATCTGTGTATTCAAAGTTAAGATATCATTTTCAAAATCCAATTTATAAAAATATAGCTTTCCATCAGAAAATTTATTATTCCATTTCTGTGAGGCTTTAATTTTTGAAAATGAAGAATGTAATTCTTGAAAGTCTTTGATCTTATCCATATCATCGAAATTCTGGATAGCTTTTTCATGTTTCTCAATTAATTTTTGTTTTCTTTGCACTGGGTCAGTTCTTTTGGGTGCTTCAGTTTTTGAAAGATATGATGGCAAGTTTGGGAAAATGGAGGGAACAGCATCTTCTTTCAATTTTGGATATTTCAAAGGTTATTTTGGACTGTTCCATCCGCCAAAACTATATTCTCTGTCCTGATGATATCCGATTCTCTAAAATGACGACTGTACACAGTTGAATATTTTGAAGGTGTCCAATTTTTTCTGGGAATTGCCATAAGCCATTTGTTTTTCAGACTTTCGGTACTTGGGAAGCGAAAAGTTGAAACATAGCTTTCTGTTTTCAAAGCAGAATTATAGTTTGCATTGCATAAAGGAACACAGCAACAACGAGGCATATTGTCTGCGTCAAATACTTGATAAATGAAAAAAGAAAAATACAACCTGAATTTGCACGTTTTCAATAGTTGAAATCCTTAGCGTCCTGAGGCGCGAACAGCCACAGTCACACTTCTTAGTTTATTTTTAAAGCGCAGAAGCACTACAACTGGAGTCTATTTCTCATATATTATAGTCACCGATCACTTTGAATACATACACACACTTTGAAGCTTAGAAAACAAGCTTATCTCTTAATTACAGCCTCTGGGATTGCCAAATCACAAATTGAAAAGGTTATGTTTTCTCAGCGTTTTGAGCACGAGTCGGGAGTAAAACTACCACCTACGTTGCCAGATTTCTTTATTCACGGCTCGTAGTTGACGTCGGCTGTGGTAGCATGGTAGATTATAATTACAGTATTCAACGTATTATTGGGTAAGAGATCACAGACTTCATCATAAGTACAGCGACACGGATGCTGATCTGCACAACTCAAACCGAGGATTCTTTTTTTCACATTGCGGCTGGCTCATGAGCAAAAAGCATCCAGCTGTCAGGGAATATGGAAAAACAATAGATATGTCCGACTTGAAAGCCGATAAGGTCATCATGTTCCAGAAAAAGTAAGTGTACGGTTTGTCTACCTAGACGTACAAATAATTTAGACTGCATATTGATAGCTGCATGTTCAATCTAAATGTCCTGTGCTATAAAACGTGTCGTCTATTGTAGTTCATTATTTTTAATGCATCATATTTATGTATGACATGGAGTGCGCAAATCAAATGATATGTAAAATAAATTATTCCGATTGTAGAAACAAGTTAATTATTTGTCGTTTGCCACTCTGCTTCGTTTCATGCACCGACACTTCATGAGCGGCGGAGTAGTGCTTTGCAGTCTAGTATACAAACAAATTTAAGAGGAAGCGATAACTCAATAAATTAGCCTACAAAATCTAAATAATGGGGTATTCGATGTATGAATCTCAACTTTTCTTGACATATCGCTAAACATCTTTCGATATTTACAAATTATTTAAATCACTTCCTCTATGTCCAAAATAAAATATCAGCTCTTTTACTTCCCTCGCCCACTGACATTTACATCACGAAAAACCATGTCACTCATTTCCATATAACTTGGAAAGCACCGCTTGGATTTGGATGAAATTTTCATACACCATTGCTACTGTGCCAAGGAGGAGAAGCTCGTATGGTTTTCGAGAATCGGCCCAGTGGCGGCGGAGAAAAAGGCCAAAAACGAAACAGTAAGATCTCTCGAACTTCATTTTTTTAAGATTCAGAAGCTCATGATTCTATTGACTTTTTTTAGTTATCCGCTTCGACCTAAAGGCCATTAGCGGTAGGGCTTAGATGCTATACTTTATTTAATATATTAGTTTGCTTATGTTGGAATTTGGTGCTAAAATATCACACATGGTCGATGATGTGAGGTTACATTCCACGCTCTGTAGTGTTCTAATAAAGGGCACTGCACTAATATGTGTTTGACACTGAGAGGAGTTTCACACACTTCAAACGTGGGTTTTGGTTCCTGCGTGATGAGATGATATCCATGGGTGATCCAGGTGTGGCCTAAACGGAGTCGGGTGATGATTGTTTGGTGTTTTCTGTTTGTTGTGTATATTGTTTATGGTCCGAATCTAGGTTTCAGTTCAATTACCTTCGATGCGTTGTTTTGCCAGTTGGTATTCCAGGTTTGAATAGCTCTGTGTTTAAGATGACATTTTATATTTGTACCTGGGATGTCTGTGGTTGGTGTGTGATCCATGTTTGCTGCTAGTTTTGCTTGATGGTCTGCTTTCTCGTTGCCTAGGATACCAACGTGAGAAGGAACCCATACGAATACGACATCCTGGTTATCTGCTTGTAATGAGTGAATAATCTGCTTAATTTGGTGCACTAGGTGGTTATCAGTATATATGTATCTGCTCAATAAGTTGAAGCGAGCTTAGAGAATCAGTTATTACGAGGCTTCGTTGTATCTTCTGATTCTGTACGTGTTTCAGGGCTTCTAATATTCCACATAATTCTCCTGTTAGAATTGTTGCTTCGTCTGGTAATTTTATTTTAATGGTAGTGGTGGATGTCACAACAGCTGTTCCTACTCTATTGTCCAGTTTTGATGCATTGGTGTATATTTTTTCGTGGTTTTGGTATTTGTTGACTATTTCTGGTGGCGGTGTGTCTGTTTTACTCATTCTTGTAAGAGCTTTGTTGATGCTTGGCCTGTGGATTGCCCGAGGAGCGATGTCTGCACTAGGTCTGATGGTAATTGCAGGAAGTTGTGCGATATTTGATTTTCTAAAGTAGTCCGAGATTCTTCGGTAAAGTGGCTTTTTCTGTGTTGCATTGGAATCGTTCAGCTGGATTCCTCTATTAATCTGTCCTACGTTCTTGTGACCAGGGACATTTGGGTTTGATGCTATTTTAGTGGTATATGTTAAGCTTAGTATCTCCCTTCTGTCATTCAACGAGAGTTCGCCGGCTTCACAATACAAGCTTTGTTGTTCTAAATGCTCCAAGTGCTAAGCGAAGTGCTCTGTGGTGTATGCTATCCAAAGGTTTTAGAGTTGTCCGGCTAGCTGAGGCGTAGATTATGATTCTATTAACTTTGAAGATTGTTATTGACTAATATTTTAATGTAACATGGTTCTGTAGACAATATGGCTTTATTTCACCAGATTTCAATTGTGTATATAACCCAGTCGATCGAATATTATATATTTTGTTCTCCACTACCCTCACTCCATGAAAAGCATAATCAAATGAGTTATCGATCCTTTGAAAAACTGAAACATGGGATTACCGTAGAGCGTAGAACTGTTTTATAGCGATCTTAGATATTCTTCACTGGCCTAAATTATATTGTAGTTTTGAACGGAAAATTTGTAAATATGTGAAGAATCAGTAGCTATTCAAAGAGATGGTAAGTTTTATAATGTTTGTTTCCGCAGTACAATGAAATTACGTCAAAAATCAGGAACCTAAGAATCGTCGTTTGGAAGTTTTCGTCTCTCCCAGTGAGCTGTAATTGACTTTGCAAAAAACAGCCCGCTACATGCATATAACAAAAGTGTCTTCCGGTGTTTTTTAAATTCTGAAGATTATTCAGTAGCTATAGAGGTTATTTGATATACTCAGTGACATAAGAAGTGTTTTTTGGCAATGGGGTGGTCTCACAATATCACGCCGTTTAGAGTCACATTATTCATGAGTAATAAAATTGAACTGAAACACGGGCTACAGCTTAAACTGCTTGATGGATTTTGACATATGAGGTTTAGTTTTTATCCTGATTAAATCTTCATTCTTTTCGGTTACTGCTGTCGGGTTGTTTCTTCTTTTTAGTTCTTACAACTAGTTTCGGGAGAGTAGTGTAATCGCGAGACATTTCGAAAAACAAGACGTTCTTTTGATGTGCACACCACGAAAAACCGAGTTACTCATTTCCCTCTGTCCGCTAATCATTGGCCCGTCTATAACTTGGAAAGTACCGCTCAGATTTGGATGAAACTTTCACACACTATGCCCAGAGTAAAAAATCTTTGTAGTTTTTGAATATTGGTTCAGTGACGGCGGAGAAAAAGGCAAAAGACGAAAATCAATTAAAATCGCTCACAGTTCATTTTTTTCACGTTTTAGAGGCTCCTGATCATTTTCGGACTTTTTTGTACAGGCTAAAAATTGGGAGTCGCGCGAATATAACTATTATAAGGAAGTCTCAAAAATGTCATCAAACAATAGATGTGTTGTGTGATGTGCCTTGGGAATTGCAAGGGGTGGGAGAATGTGTATCTCAATTTTTTTATGTTGGTATATTTATATGCCTCCTACGCACCTGATAAACATATTTTACTCATCATAGATATCCCCTTACATTTACCCTTATAGCTGGATTCAGAAGTATCTCCAGCAGTAGCGTGCGATACATGCGCCGTGGTTTGGCTGATGACCGTAGGTCATGCGTCGCAGTCGCTAGTCGGTTTCGTGTTGCTGTTGGCTTTTTTCTATAAAAGTCAACAACATCATCCACGTGGGATTAGTCACATCAAAGATTATATGCAACTGCTTGAATTTCTCATAACCCAATTCTTTGTTAGATGTACAACTTCGTCGCTTTTTTAACGGAAGGGCTAACATGTACTGAAAAAAATCATTTACAAACTGCGTTGCGTTTGAAGTTTTCATTTCTGTGACCCATCATCTCTGGAAAAGTCTAGATTCTAATCTGATGTATAACAATATATAGCTCTACCGTTTCCCGCAATTTTTTATAATTTTATATTTTTATTGTAGGTATTATCTTCCTATATACATATTTCTAAGTTCCTTGGTGGTTGCCGTGCCAGTGTGGTTATGGAATGAAACTTTAACGAATTCTATACTATCCTCCCATTTCTTCAGATGGATATTGTATTTGAATATCACAATGTGCGTCAACAGCTGGGCTCATTTCTTTGGTACTAAACCATATGACAAGTAAGTAGAATCGATTATACAAAAAAGCAAAATGGAAATTACTTTCCGAATTATTTTCTATAACCAGTATGATATTCAATACACACCCATACGTGTGTGCCTGTTGAGCCTTTTATGATGCGTACAGCATGGTCCAAGTCCACGTAAATACCTCCTCAAGCAAAACCCCTTTTTCAAACCTCATCCTATTCATGTTTTATGACGACTTTCAGGTATATCCGTCCAATAGAATCGAACCTGTTATCATTCTTAATAGTTGGAGAAGGTTGGCATAATTACCACCACACCTTCCCGTGGGACTACCAGGCTGCAGAATATGGTCTTCACTATAGCCTGACGACATTCCTGATTGAGCTATCGAGTTACTTAGGACTGGCACATGATCTGAAAAGTGCTTCCCAGCAAACGGTCGAGAAAAGGAGGCTACGAACAGGAAATGTACCTCTAAAAGGTCAGCCAATAGATTATAACAGTAATGGTAACAATAATAATAATAGATTTTTATTGAGGTATACATTATAATATATACAGGGTGTTTCAGTTTATTGTTGCCTAACTTTAAGATTCGATAGAACTTTTAAAATTAATGCATAAAGTCTATATAAACATGGGTCGAAAAATGCGTGGCTTCCGAAATACAGGGTGTTTAAATTTACTTTCTAAAATAGTTTTTTTTTAAATATTTCGAACAATATTTGATATATAAACAATGAAAATTGGTATACAAGGGTTTTTTGGTACGACAAAACGAACCATGGGCATAGTTTTACTGTAGCCGCTAGAGGGCGCTCTCTACAGCACCTGTAGTGTATTAAAATGACCTAAAATTTTTTCTTAGTGCAATTTTTTGATTTTTGAATAAAAAAACTGATTCTTCGCACTTTTCAACATAAAAAAGCTGAATTTTCGTTACAGTTAGCCGTTTTTGAGATATTTCGATTGTTAAGGTTCGATGCATTTTTAATTATTTATGATAAAATAACGTTAAAAAGTCAGTATCTCGATAATTTTTAGAAGTAGGCTGTGCCTGCAAATATTTTTGAAATTGAAAGCAGAATAAGGTTAAACGCCAATTAGTTGACAGTTAGTTTTGTTGTCTGTTGAAACCTGAAACGTTTTTTTGCAATTTTGAATGCACGAAATTTAGTTTCTTTTACCTGTTTTTTTTTTGCAAGTTTTATAAAAATGCCATTTTTATTGTCCAATCAAGAGTTAGCGGATATTCGTTTTGTGTATGGCTTTGTAAATGGAAACGCAGCAGAAGCAGCCAGAGAATACGCACGAAGATTTCCAAACAGACGACATCCAACTCGCTCAGTATTTGTAAGAGTGCATCGCCAAATAATTGAAAATGGTTCTGGAAATCTCCAAAGGGATCAAAACATAAATGTTCGTCAGCGCAGATTTACCCGTATGAATCTGCGTGAGTTTGATAGAGATCCGATTTCAGCAAGCCGTCTTCACCGTGTTCTTAGAAATGACCATAGACGTCCTTACCATTTGCAACCTGTGCAAGGACTACAGCCAGGGGACGGAGAACGAAGAATCACATTTTGTCAGTGGATTCTTGATAGAAGTAACGTTTTATGGACCGATGAGTCATGCTTCACTAGACGTGGAGTGGTAAATTTTCATAATCAACATATTTGGTCGCATGAAAATCCGCATACAGTTCAGGAAAGAAATTTTCAGCATGAATTTACCGTGAACGTGTGGATTGGTATCTACCGAAAACGACTATTTGGACCCTACCTTTTGCCTGCAAGGTTAAATGCTGCGACCTTCTTGGAATTTTTAAAGGCTGAACATGCAAGTATGTGGGATGATGTTATTTTAGATTTAAGAAGATTGGCCTGGTTCCAGCTTGGTGGTTGTCCAGCTCATTATTCGAGAATAGTTAGAAACTGGCTGGACGAAAATTATCCAGAAAGATGGATCGGCCGTGGAGGACCTGTCGCCTGGCCTGCACGATCCCCTGACCTAAATCCATTAGATTTCTTTGTGTGGGGATTTCTAAAAGAAAAAGTGTACCAGACTCCCGTAACCACAAGAGATATGCTAATAGACAGAATGAGGAATGCATGTGATGAAATAAGGCCTTATTTGAATAATGCTATACCACGTTCGATCATTCGTAGATGTGAATTGTGTATTGAACAATTGGGTTTACATTTCGAGCAACTACTTTAGATTTTGTATGTTTGTCCTAACTATCCAATAGCATTTTAGTTGTAAATAATTAATCTAATTTGTTAAAAATAATATTGGAAAATTAAACAAATTAATATTTTGTTTTTTGTGTTTATTTGGAGTCAGGAATTATTGCTGTGTTTAAAAACACAATCTAAACGATCATCTTAATTACCTGTAATGCCCAAATCGAAATTTTTTTAAAATAATATTATTTTCCCATAAATAATTAAAAATGCATCGAATCTTAAAAATCGAAATAAGTATCTCAATAACGGCTAACTATTGAAAAGTGCGAAAAATCAGTTTTTTTATTCGAAAAGCAAAAAATTGCACATGGTCCGTTTTGTCGTACCAAAAAACCCTTGTAAACCAATTTTCACTGTTATACATCAAATATTGTTCGAAATATTTAAAAAAACTATTTTAGAAAGTAAATTTCAGAAGCCACACATTTTTCGACCCATGTTTATATAGACTTTATGCATTAATTTTAAAAGTTCTATCGAATCTTAAAGTTATGCAACAATAAACTGAAACACCCTGTATAATGCTCCCCAAAAGGCGGCGTCTAGAAAAAAACTATTCTGCTTAACCTTCCCTACGAAATTAATAAATTCAGTTGTATAGTAAATTATATATAAATGACCGACGAAACACCTTAGTATTATATAACGGAATTTTGAATCGTTTTTCAAGCCTGAAATTAATGTCATCTTTTCGTCGACAACAATTTTCTGTATAGGTAGGCAGCAGATCGTGAACTTACTATTTTGTGTGTCATGGTAGCCACAGAGTATCTATACAAGTCTTCGACGCGTAACCATTTTAGCTCAAATATTTTTGCTGAAGTGCAGTCATACATTTTTCGGTTATAAATAAATCTTCAACAACTATTTTGAATCTTTTCAGGATGTCCCAACAAAAATGGAAAGTACTTTATAGAAAAACCATATAAGATATTCGGAGACGGTTGTCTCAGATACATTGATTCCCCACAATTATTTCTAAACTATTTGAAAGCATACGGGGTGTTACACGATTCCGTGGCACAAAAAATCTGAAAGACCCTTCCAAACAAGAAGACTGATGTGTTGACCTGGTCTACCAATAATTGGAGACTTTTTAGTTAGTAGTAGTTTCCTCTACTTGATGGGCTTAACCTTAATTATCAATTTTGTCCGCAGGTTCATAATCAGTCACTATATTATTTCTTTACAGTTTTTCTCAAATCATTTTATGTGTGTATGTGTAGCTCAGTTGAACGTCACTGTGGACTTCATTTCTCTCACATTGCTTGGTACCTCGAGGAGCTGTATAGAAAAATAAAAATTATAAATTAAACGTAGATTTACACCAAGAAATTTAAAGAACGGTCATAAGGATCAACTCTCCTGTTTCAAATTTTGATCTGACACACAAGCCTGAATCGCATAGATTTTTGCCTATAAAATGTGTGAGGGTGAGAGCCTAGTTCCAGGTCCAACAACCCCGGCGCCAGAGCCCTGTACAGATACAGTCCTGACTCAATTTATTGACTGGAACTGGAGATGATATTTAAGAAACCTCCTTAAATTTCTGTCCTAGTGGTTTTTTAGGAATTTTAGGCAAACCCTTTCAAACGCCGTCTTGGAAAATTCATCATGTTGTATTTAAAACTGCGATAGAATATGTAGCACTAGTATACCAAAAACTTAACTGAATTCACATATTTGATGACGGATAACTGCTACCATTATGTCGAATGTATGTATATACGAAGTAGGTGGTCAATTCTGTCAAGTTCTGACAAACGACGTCTGTACCACGTTTGAGTGAATTAAATCATGCCAATGCAATTACCCCATTCAAGCCTGAACAATCTATTTAAATTCAGAGCTTAGAAAGTTAATACTAATTTATTCAAATTATTCAAGAATCACATTGTCAACGCTTGCCAGTTACAAAAATTATATTAATTCCGTTTAAAAATTCTGTTGCTTACAACAAAGTATAATGGAAATTTAGTAATTATGGATTTGAATGAAGTATCAATTGCATTATGAAAATATTTTAATTAGCCTGTGTATCTGCATGTTATTGATGTCACGTGACAAGTCCCCATGTTTTGCAAGATCATACACTTGAATTTGTATTCGTGACTTGAATACATGTGACTCTCACCTATCACGATTCACCTTAGAACCAAGTGCGTTTGTCATACGACGTAAATAGCGTGTATGAATGTGGTCTTGCTCTTAATATAACATACTCTTACTTTGTTGAAAAATGGCGTCAAGTAGGCTGACTCTGCAATTCCTAATAGAAGTTATTTTGGTTAGTGAAATTCTCGATTGCAGCTAGCTGGTCAAGTCTCTCAATGGTTCCATTCAGCAGGTTGGCTTTGTCAAATCTTTGGGTGTCCATATAAGCAGTTGCTCACATTGATTATTATACATGCAAAAAGATCGCCCCATTCCTGTACTCCATCAGTCAGCTACGCTTTGTGGTCGATTGATCTTTGCTATTGACCTACTATTTTGCATATATCCACTCCACAATTCCATACGGTATCATACCCTGGAGTGGTTCTACAGAAGCAATTCACTATGCAAAAAAGAGTCATGCATTGACTGTTAGGTCTGAGCAGAAGGACCAGCTGCAGAGATTCTTTCAAGCGGCTGGGAATATTAACTTTACCATCAATATATATATATTTGAGTTGTTGGCACATGTGATATCTAACCTAGCTGAGTTTCCAAAATTGAATGATCATAATAGGTACTCGACTAGGAGTTCGCTTGTCCTGCAGATTCCTGCTCATAGGCTGTCAGGAACAGAGGTCAGCCCAAATCAAATGGGTATTAGGCTGCTCAATAAATTGCCAGATACCTTTGAAACCTTGCCAATGCCATGATTCAGACATAAACTCAAAACTCTATTAAGACACAGAGTGTTCTATTCTTTGGACGAACATTTCTTAGATATCCAGGTAAATCAAGATGCTTAACTATTTCTAATGTGTGCTCTTAGTCCCACATACATTCTTTACTGTAGCTTATTATTATTTATGGTTCTTGTACTTTATTTATTTTATTTATATATTTTAACTTGGCCGATTCATTTTAATATGTACTGTGTTGTGTTCTTGTTCGTTGTTGTTATATATATTTCATATGTGTATTGTTTTTATTTATCTATTTTTGGAATGCCTTTGGTAGTTTCAAGATAGAGTACATTCACGTGTTCTATGTCATGACAAATGATCTATAGAACAAATAAAGATTTTTCGTTTATTTATTTATATTTAATATTTCTTACTTATGCTACTACATGCTCACATAAACCTCCAAATGATTTGATTTATACCAAAGTATCAACAGTAATGTTTTGATGATGGTGCTCTCATGTGTAACAAAGTTTCGGAGACAAACCAATAGTTATGGTTACAGATTTTATTTTGAATAAATTAATGAATACACCACAGTGAGATAAGTGAGATAACATATACATAAATAGCTATCTGTCCTCATGAAACGTTAATGAAAGCATACTATACAGGGTGTCCGCAAATTTGGGGTTTTCCTTGACACGACGTGTAGATCTTGAAAACATAAGCAATATTTCTTAGTACCATATACACCAATGTCTTAAGGGAACCGAGATAAAGGGCTCTGCAATATCAAAAATATCTGAATCCCGTCATGTAGCCGCGACCCGGTACATCACCGATTGGTACAAGGTCTCAACCCGACGACAGAACTGTGTCGGGGTCAGTGTGTCAGGTCAGTATGCAACCTTCAACCGACGGTTACGGTCACGCATGTAGAGGTAATCGCGTAGACGAGAATCCCTCAACAAGCACTAGAGACGTGGCTAGAGAAGTGCAAGTATCAAAAACTAAAGTGTGGCAAACGCTGCGTGAAGAGGGGCTGTATCCGTTTCACGTCCAACGTGTACAAGCCCTTCAACCTGACGATTTTCCAGCAAGAGTGCGGTTTTGTAAGTGGTTGTTGCATCAACATGACAATAATCCGGACTTTTTGAAGTGCATATTGGTGACAGACAAATCTACGTTCACGCGTAATGGGGTGAATAACTTTCGCAACACTCATGTTTGGTCGGTAGAAAATCCGCACGCTGTCCGTCGGGCACATTTTCAACAAACATTTTCGGTGAATGTTTGGGATGGCATGGTGAACGGTATGCTCATTGGACCATTTATTCTCCCAAATCGATTGGACGGGATGCAATACCGAGACTTTTTACGCAACATTTTGCCTTCCTTGTTAGAAGATGTGCCATTAAGTGTAAGACAATCAATGTGGTTTCTGCGTCTGCTCGGTAGCGCATCAGCTGATTTCATTTACTGTTGGAGCGGTATGATTTCGGGCAGAGACGTACTTAGCCCTTCTCGTCAACTGGAGAGTGAGTACTTTTTACTTGGTCGCCCTCGTTTCACTACACATCACCTTTGTCATTTCAAGGGTAGTTGTTTCTGAAAAGGAAAACCCCAACTTTGCGGACACCCGGTATATAACATAAGGCGTATTCTTTAATTCACCGGTGGTGCAACCAATTAATCAATTTTTTCTCTTTTAATTTCCGTCTGAGCGACCGATTGTACACCAAACTTGTCTATAAACTTGTCTATATAGTTTATAGACAATTTTGGTGTACAACCGGTCGCTCAGACGGGAACTGAAGTAAGTAAAATTGGCTAATTGGTTGCACCGGTGGCTCAATCGGTGAATTAAAAATACCCCTATACATTTACAGCGATACATTGACTACAACAACTTACTAGATTTTGTTTTACTTTTCAGATCAGAAAAATCAACATGGAAGCTGAAGTCTACCCTGGATGGCCATAGGAATAAAATATTAAATTAAAATTAAATAACATTTCCACTTTTGCTCGTTTATGGCATAATTAGGAGTTTATTATGACGTTCCGTCTCCTATTCTCAAACATCAACTTTATTTCTTCTCATAGACTTCATAATTAATATCTGCAAATGTGAATAGGTCTGAAAAATAATAGCGAAAATGTTCACACGGACATTGTCCACCCTAATTATTTAAAAAAAAAACTAATATTTTCATAGCCTGCTTGGAAAATGACAGCTTCTCACATGATTAGTGGATTACATCACCAAATTTGGTTCAGTTCATATTTAAAACGTTCACATGATTTTGACGCAATATGTGTACATCGGCTTAGATATGACAGATTTATGTTTAAAAATCTCCAACACCATCAAGGTTTTTGCTTACTCTACAATCTATGGATTTTGTAAAACCGCCGTTTTTAATGTATGTATTACTACCCTTACACAATATAACATTATCTTGCTATTAATTCGATGAGCTAAGGGCCATATCGTCAGTCGTTCCTACGTATTACGCCTTTATGGCCTAAGGATTTCTGCTGTTTTGTGTCAGCATCAGCGCTCTCCTATTGTGAGGTTATGTTTTCTTTTTGGATCTTAAGAAATTTAGGATGATAAAAATCTCGTTTTATCAGCCTGAAATGTCTTAGAATTCAAACAGGAAATATAACCTCAAAATAGAGCGCCTGCATGAAACAGTAGAAATCTAGAAAAACCCCTGCCGTTCTGAAAGACAGGAAAAACTATGAAAATCAAGGAGGCCATAAAGGCGTCCTATAGTTGTAGGAATGACTGTCGATATGGCCCTGAAACCTTACTTACAAAGATTACATCATTAGTCATTTTTAGACGTTACGTTATCAAAATCTGAAACAAGAAAGACTGTTCACCTATACTCAGTCCATTAAACAGGAAAGCTTTGCTGATATTATGAAGCAGATGACTATATAATAGTTGCAAGGTCTACCTAGGAGCTTTTTGAGATCAGAATTAAAAACCCTATTGACTTCGGAAAAATCCAATATGCCGTAAAGAAAAAATAGAGTTATTGATTGAGGTCAAGAGACGAAACGTCATATTGGAGTTCTAAGAAATCACCTTGTAGCGTAGAAAAGGTGGCAATGTTAATGTGTAATTTGCTTCGAAATCCCACCTCAAATAATGTCAGGAAAAATAAAATGAATTTCGGAAGAGTCCCTTTTTTTAACCTCCAGCTGCTAGAACTTTGAATAGAGCAACTTCCTAAGTGCAACTTTCTTAGTTGCTTAAGCGTGCCCAGTAGTGAGCCATTTAGTATCACTTTACAATTATTTCGCAAGCCAGAGTAATTTTCATCTAATATGATTAAAATAATATTCTTATCAATATATTAGATGCTCGGCAGTGCAGGTGTTTATGTCCAAACCTACGCTGACGATTTAAGCACTATACCCTATTCTTGGAGGAAATCTGGGATAAATGCAAGACATACAAAACCTAAATTGTGGCCTGACTCTACAATTGAATCAGCTTCTTAAATGGACTAGCCACTGGGTAAAAAAGAGTCCGTCAGGTACCTACGTGTATCTAACCAATTTGTCATTTGTGTTGTAAAAATGGTGTCCGGTAGACTGAATCTATGAAGAAAACGACCGACTACCACGATGCAATGGGTGGGAGTTCATTTGAACAATGGTTTGAAGAAACACTCACAAAGCTTGACGACAACGCTGTCATTGTACTTGGTAATGCTGCACACCACACTAGAAAACTAGAAAAAAATCCCACAATGTCCACAAGAAAGGCAGAAATTCAACAATTGCTCCTATCAAAGGATGCTGCTAACTCCACCATGAACGTCCCCCCCCCCCAACGCCCAAGCGCCGTCAATTCAAAGGGTTCCCTACACTATGCGGGAGGAAAGATTCAGACATAAGACAGTGAGATGAGTGCTGTGGTCGCTCGACATCAACAAAACTTCTGGTCCGGACTTGATTCCTGCCACTGTACTGAAGCGGTGTGCAGCCGAGCTTGCTCCAGTTCTTTCGCGTCTCTTCCAGATATCTTATGAATCCGGGACCTTCCCAGAGAACTGTAAATTTGCTCATATACAACCCATCCCAAATAAAGGATCTAAGACCGACAATTATAACTACAGGCCTATAGCTCCGCTTTCTGTTATAAGTAAGGTGATGGAGAGGTGCATAAATTGCGAGCTTCTGGACTACCTCGAACGTCACAGCTTGATTAGCAATAGGCAGTATGGTTTCCGGCACCAACGATCTAGCTTACGTCACGCAATTGTGGAGTAAACTCATCCAGTCTTATGGTGAGGCTCATGTCGTTGCTCTTGACATCACGTAATTGACGGGTTCTCCTCTTCATCCCACAACGTCAACGCGGGTGTTCCCCAGGGATCAGCCTAGGCTCCGATATTTTCTCTTACATATCAACGACCTGCTTTCCTGCACGATCAACCCAATCCACAGCTTAGCTGACTATAGCTCTCTACATGCAGGAATTGAGAGTGACAAGCCGATCTCTGCCGCTGAGCTGGAAAAAAGAAGACTAGCGACGACTTCCTCTCTGACAAGAGACCTGGAGGCTATCACTGCTTGGGGACGCAACAATTTTGTACAGTTCAATGCTTCCAAAACATAGTACTGTACTTTGACGAACAAAAAGCGTCCTAGCTCTCATTCGGTTTCGATGGATGGAGTTCTGCCAAAGAGCCATTCATTTCGGCTGGTCGGAGTCCAGATCACCGAGGCTACTTGTTTAGAGCTAAGAAGTACTTTTCTCCGCATGACCTTCTCACTCTATACAAGACCCAGATAAGGCCTAGCCTCGAGTATTGCTCATACGTTTGGGGTGCTGCCGCCCCGACTTGATTATTTGTACTCGATGCTGTCCAGAGGAGGGCGGTCCGACTGATCGATGACTTTTCTCTAACAAACAGTCTCGGGGCTCTTTCGCACCGGCGAGCCGTCGGCGATCTAGCTTTTTTCTACCGCTACACCAACGGGCTTTGCTCCTCAGAGCTCTCTTCCATGATGCCACCGCGCGATGTGCCTGCCAGACAGACCCGCCTGACTTTGGCGTCCCGTCAAACTTCGTACATCCAGAACTGACCGATACGACGCTCGTTTGACCCGAGGGTGTCGATATTGTGATACAATCTACAAGAGGAAGTTTTTCCCAGTTCTACTAACCCTAGGCAGTTCAAAAATCGTATTAACAAAATTTCTTTGGGATCATCATAGTAGTCGCGGTGTTCCGGCAATTAGGATTCTGACTGCGTGGCTGCTTCGATATAAAAAAAGAGATTAGTTCCAATGAAAATATGGTCAAAGCAGAACTTATCCATCTAGTCAGGCAGCACAAATATAAATTTAATCTTAATGTTATTGACGAAATGGCTAAAAACCAAAATAAGGCTACCCCCTTATCACTGCGAATCAACTCCCATTGAAATGATTTGGGCAAATATAAAAAACTATGTGCTTCAAACAATAGAACAGAGAGACAATCGAAACAAAGATGTGGAATCTGGACAATATGATCGATATTCAAATTGAACCTGTAATAACCAATATTAACCATTCGGGCGATGATTCAAGTACTTCCAGCGGATATAAAATTGTGAAAAGTATGCGCTCTTCTTCCTATAAAATAATCATTTATTTTGTTTCAAGATCAATGAGGAAAATACGGACCTGTACAATCTCGCTTTTGGGCATGTTGTGTTTTGTCTGGGGATAAATGGACTACGAATGGGATATAGGCTAGGAGTCGTTTTTGTAGAACGGTCTCTGAAATTATGCAGGGCCCTCTGCGCGCTATGGAATCGTGGTGAAGGGGGATCGATTTTTCTGTCAACGGTAGCAAGACCGAGCTGATTCTATTCTATTCACTAGGAGAAGGAAGCTTGATGGGCCTGTGTTGCCGACCTTCTTTGGGACTAGTCTAGTTCTATCCCAATCAGTAAAATATCTAGGGATTATCTTGGACCGCAAAATGAATTAGAGAGAGCATGTGGACTACCAGCAATCCAGTATACCTGTATAATTGCAGACGTAATGCCGGAGTGAGGTGGGTCCCTTAAACCCCCAAAGTGGTACACTGTTTCTATACGACGATAGTACGTCGATTGCATTGCATTGGAACCCAGACGAAACCGGCCAAACTCAATAAAATTTAGCGTCTGGCTTGAACCAGTATTACAAGCGCGATGCGGACAACGCCATTGAGCGCAATGGAAGCTTTGCTGGATCTCGAGACGAGAGTAATCGCAACTCGACTGCGCAGTCAGGGCAGCTGGGCCTATTTGAATCCTGTCAAGGGCCATACTGCCATCTTAGTCGAATCTCAAAGGATCATGTCCTTCTGGGTAGGGGTGATCTAAGCACCCCTAAGTACCGCGTTAGCCACAAGTTTAATGTGGAGTATCCAACGTGGGCGGAGTGCGACTCTGGAAACCGGCAGGTCTGGTCACTGAAGAAGACTTTGGCGCCGGAGTTTTTGGGCCTAGAGCTAGGCTATCTCTGTCTCTTGGCAGATACACCACTATTTGCCACCCGGAAATCAATGCGATCCGGCTTGCGTGTCTCGGGTTTTGGAGGCGAAAGGGGCTAAGAGAAGCATAACAATCATCTCTGCCAGCTAGGCTGCGATGAAGGCATTCAGTGCATGCAAGATCACTTCTAGCCTTGTATTGCAATGCAGGGGGCTCTGGATAGCGTAGCAGCGAAACATGTGATGGTACCGAGGCACGCTTGGATGAAGGGCAATGATAAAACAACACTCTCAAAAAAGGAGAAGCATCTCGAGACATCTCTGTCAGGCAAGGAATCTCATTGTAGGGCCCAGTGTTAAAGATGGATGCTTTTGCTTATCCTTGGACAGAACCAACCTAAGGTTGTTGGTTGGACTGTTGCCTGACCATAATACCTTGAGGTGCCACCTGCATCTGTCGGGGGTGACTGAGGATCTCATGTGTAAGCGCTGAGCTAGTACAGGCAGATTATACTGGGGTCGATTACTTTGGGTTCCTAGTATAGTATGTTAAGGAGCTGGGACTCAAGGCTGTACTTAACTTTGCTAGAAGGGCTCGGCTTGAGGCTTACGGAATGTACGGATCATCGTGGCCGGTATGCCTTATATTTCATATTTAATTCGTTCAATATATTAGATATCCATAGGCTCATATCGTTTTCGATATTTTTCTCAGAAAACACCACATTCCACCACATAATGCGTGTGTTAGCGCTTGAAGCCATCGAGTAAATTTTACCAGACTAACGATATGTTCTGTAAGAAGCTCTTGCCTCTCAAATTAATTTTGGGAAACTTAATCAGATCCCCCATATAAATCAGCCGGTACAGTTCGGAAATTCCACGAGCAATCGGTAATTCATTCAAGTTTAATGTTCTATTAAATTCCCCGGGAGCAAGAATTATAGTTCGACGTTAAAAATGCGATATTGCCTACTTATAAGGCGAACGCTTTCAGCCCATTCATCTCCATGACAAAGTCAAATTGGACTGTTACACGGCTATAGGGGTATTATAAATGTACATATAAGGAAATTCTACTTACGCTGCACGTATTTAAAGAGCGTGAAATACGATTGGAGAGAAAAATGTATCTGTTTCCTACTGTACGAGCCACTGAGGGAATATCTCGCCATATGAGTATACGATAGTGCTGGGTCAGTTCTAAAACAGTCATTACAAACGATCCCACATAAGGAATTCATTACCGCAATACTTTCAATTCTAGCGACTTTAAACTTAATTAGTAATGATCTATAACGTAATAATTATATTGTCAGATGACAATACAATTTTAAAGCGAGTGAGAATAGCTCTCACACCTCTTCTATGAAACTTTATTGATGATTGATTTGCATTTGGTTGTCTTAGGTAAAGGGTCGGCATGTATACTTTGATCTAAACTTCTGTTGCTATCAAAGAAGAAAATATTTAGCTAGAACGAGCCATAAGGTAAAATCCATAAGATAATAATTTAAAACTGGATTTAACACTTAAAGAAAGAATTTCAATACCTGTCCATGAAGACCGGAGAGAACTTACAAAGAATGTATTCTACCGTGATTACCTTACGATTTGAATCGGATTGTTTTCTGGACAACCAAAGCTAATAGATGTCTAAGATCAGAACCTCCAATCGCTTTGGTGTGGAATTTGA